TCTAAAGTGCATTTCAGTGAAATTCATTTTTCCAGAATATTGTGCCACCATCATCAATATCTAATTCAACAACTTTTTCATTGTCCTAAAGCAAATGCTCTGTACATATCAAAACCCAACTCTCCAATCTCTTGTAATTTGTGATCCATATTCTTCTCTTAATTACTCTATGTTAGGTAATTCATATGAGTGGAATCGTAAGACAAAGGGTTTTTATCTTGCTTACTTCACTCAACACTGAAAGATGATGTACTGTAGCATGCTTCCATTCTTTTGAATGACAAGTACAAATTGTAAACAAACACCTGCTAAATTGGCTAAATTAAAGTTATGTATAATCTAATTTTGGATGACAAAGTAAGAAGAGTTAAAAGAGAAGGCATGGAAAATACATGCACGACTTGGTTAATATTCTATATTTAAACTATAATGAGTGCTTTTGTAAAATTAGTATTTCCTTTGCTTTTGCATTGGCATGTTCCATATTTACCATGGTCAAACCTGTCAGTGCAGATGCTTCCTTCATCCTCTCTGTAAATCTCTTAAAGATTATGAAAATTATTAAACTTGGAAAATCCCTCCTTAAGAGATGCTGACTCTATCTGCTATTTCCCTGTCTTATCAGAGAAACTGTAATGCCTACAGTTCAGTTGGCAGAAATAGCAACAAAAAGGATGTATGCAGGGAGGATTTGTTCGATCTCAGTTCCACCAAGGTGAGCAAGCATTTGAGATCTAGGATCTACTAGGTCATGCCTGATGCTGTGTTCATCCTGCATCACAGCAGCCCATTAATATATGTGATGTACATTTTATCACTGCATTCATGGGACTCACATTTACATCTTGTAATTGGTAGTAGCAATTAAAGCACAGAAATCAGCAACTCATAAAACCAGAACATTTTTATTTGAAGAGTTAATTGTTAACATTAAGTAACACTCCATTAATAATACCTGACCAATTGTCCTAACAGGACATGAAAGCTTCACTCAAGATCACTATCTCCATCTCTGTGTTACATATCTGACTCCTTGTGCTACTTTCTTATTTGTTTCTTGATGGTTCATCTATAGTACAAGAGAGAATTCTATCAACTCTAAGAAACATATCACCATTGTGTTTTTGAAGCATGTGCTCCCTGAGCTGTGCTTTATTGCCCATCAGCCAAGCAGATTCTCATGAGTGGTACAAACCCCACTTTTGGCCTTTGTGGCCTCTGACGCATCCCATGCACGACCTTAGGATTGTCCACAAAACACTTCTTATTGTGGAGGGACAAACAGAGCACTGAGCTCTGCACTGGTGGAGGGGAACTGAGGGACTCAGGTGTTCTGAGAACAAGTCTCTGTTCTTTCACACCCTGCTCAGCAGTTCATTGCTCTATGGAGAGAGGAGAGTGGGGGCTATCACAGGACACTGGCATACTATGCTGACAGCTCTCAACCTCACTTAGAACCAAGTTCATCATTGCTTTTGGAACAACAAGGAGCAACCACAGTAACAAGGGAAAAAGAGAAAAAAGGCAAGATGAAAAAACATGTAGTCAATTGTACAACAATTGCTTAGATCTATAGATGGCAAGACTTAGACATCTTTAATACAATTGATCACTCCAGAATGTTATTGATGTTACCAAAAGGGCATCAGTCACAGAAGATTAACTGGAAGATATGTGGTAAAGCAGTAGTTGTGGATACACATCTACTTTCACTCCCTTAATGATAAGTCTTGGCCTCCATTTAAGGAAGTGTGACAAAAATATTTTAAAATTAGAGTGGAATTGGCATTGAAGCGTACACAAGGTTTTTTTTTTTCTGTACATAATGATAGCAAAAAGGATTCCTGATTGAAAAGAAAAAGCACTGATTTATGAATCCTGTTTTTACACTAAGGGAATAGAGAAGAGAGTCATGGGAACTTCGTGCGTGTGAAAATCATTAGAAGCATTTTGTGTGAATGAACCCAAGAGAGATGTTGAAAATTTGTTTGGTCCCTGTGGCTTGGGCTGATGACTTGAAAAACCTTCATTCCACATTCATGATGCCTCTTCTTTCTCCACACATTCATTAGAAAACATTAAAATAGACACTGTGTTCTAGTCCTTGACATGAATTTTACAGTGGTTTAACCCACAATTATGGTTTCAAATAGACCTAGTGAGGAAAAAGAATGTGTGTATTGGAGAGACGAAAGAAAAGTATGAAATCTATCCTGACATGTTCACAGTGTCTTATTGGCACAAATCCCTGGAACCAAATGGATTAGAGTTCATGACAGTAAGTAGGTTCTGTTAAACAGAAGCCAAAACATAAAACTCAGGGAAACATAACTGGACACCATGAAAGAAAAAGATTGTAGTGTGATTAGTGAAAGGGACATGAAAAACTGAAGATATTCATCATGTACCTGTTGAAATTCAAGCCAACTGATGACAATGACTAGGGGGTAAGTACCACAATTATCAATTATACTCCCATAATTTATTATTAACAGCTTTTCCAATAACAATCACACCATTCATCAAACCTGGTACTTACATAACCTATGCCTACCACTCCCTTGTTTGTATTTGTCAAGTAATGCTCACCAGTCCAGGACCTTACCTTTGAATAATTCAGACACCCATGCTTCCTAAATGTATCCAATTCCAGCTAGATTGCATTCAGAGGTAAAAAATGTTGCCCTTATTAGAAAAAATTCACTGACCAACCATTTGGGATATCATAAAAGTAAATATTGATATAAAATCCTGTCAGAGTCACAGTATTTAACTGACTGTTTTATCCTAAATATATGTCAGCAGATACAGCCTTGCTGCCATAACATGTCCTTATCTGTCCTTAGATAACTTCATTCTTTTACTGGAGAGTCAACACCAATAACCAGAAGCACTCTGAATTATTGGCATATTTTTGAAGTCAAAGATAAGGTTAGACAATTCATGAGCTTTCTGGCATAAGGAAATTTCCTTGAAAGCCTTTGAAAGAATAAGATAGCATGATTTTGTGTTGCAAAACTCATCATAAACATTTCTCTATACATAACTGAAGAATTTCTTAATTAATAATATGTAATTTTTAAAAGTGATACTTTTGATTAGAGAAATTTCATCTTAGTTTTCAAGCTTTAAGCTGTTTGATGAGATAATTCAGCCATCCAGAAAATTAGAAGAGTTTGAAAATTCTTCAGTTATTTATTTTTTTAGTATATAATATTGCACAGGGTTCGTGTTGAGACATTTCTATATATGCATACAATGTACCCTGATTAAGTTTGTTCAATCCATTATTCCACTCTTCTCCTTCCTGGTCTTAAAAAGACTTCAACAAGTTTTAACATTATATTCACACATGTATGTAATGTGCATTCACCATATTCACCTCCTGTACCCTACTCATTGGCTCATCCTCCCACTAGTACACTCCCTATAGCAAGACCTAGTTTACGTTTCTGTCCTTCAGTATTTAAGTGTTCATTGCTAGGTGGAGTTTGCCTCAGTCGTCCACCTGTAAATAAGTCTGCTTTACCTCTTCCAGCACCCTCTCTTACTTTTCCTTCCTGTTTCTGCCCATCCCATATTGTTCAACAGTTTTTAGTTCATTTCGCTGTGTCTTGTTCCCACATGGATACCATGTATTTCAATACTATGCACTGTCATTGTTTTCTCTGTTTCCTCCTCACCTAGTCTCTTCAAGCAGTTCCAGTGTTGGATAATTGCTCTGCATATATGTATATATGATAATGCTTATATTCGTACCTATCCTCCACATAGTTTCTCTTTCTGAACTGGCTTACTTCACTTAATATGGTGCTTTCCATATCTCTATCAATTGTCTGTTGTCTCTGCTAGTACTCTATTTGACTCCTTTTAAGAAAACTATTTTTTTTCACCTTTCTTTTCAATAAATCTCCTTTTCTTAAACTCAGTCAATGACATGAAACTTCAAGATTATCTCTATTTTTTTAAGAACAAACGTATTGACCATATTTCATGCTGTTGACCATATTTCATGAAGTTGACCATATTTCAACTTCTGCAGAGGTGAAACCCAGAAACTAGACTGTATTCTGGCTAAGTAACATCATTGCCAATTCTCCATATCTGCATTTCATTAATAACGAATCCTGGGCTTGAGTGATAGAACACATCCCTGGCAAATGTGAGGCTTTGAGTTCAAATCCTACGGCTGCCAGAAAAAAAAAATGAGTCCTCTTTCCATGTGCATTACTGCTGTCCATTCTATTGGAGCTTGCTCCTCTCTAGCTTCTGGAGTATATTATAGAATTTTAATTAATTGAAGTCCACAATAAACTTTAAAAGTTCATCTCATGAAAATAAAAACAAAAGAATATAGAATTTCAAGAAATTTAAAATGTGGCAGAAACATTGCTCCAACTTTGTCAAAAGAATATGGTTTTAAATTTTTTATTCTGAACACCTCCTTTCAGATACTATGAAAAGAAATTTACTCTTACATAGATTTGGGTGGCATAGAGATACATACCAATAAATAACTGAGTTTCAACTATACTTATCTCTAGTGCCTTCTAACTAATATATTGATCAGGGTGAAAATCGGCTGGTGTGAACTGGCTGTCCCTCAACTAAAGACAATTAGGAACAGAGCACTGAGAAAAAACCTGAAATTGAGAATAAAGACACTCATATATGGAATAGAATGAAAATACCAATCAAAATAAAGAAGTTTCACTTTTAATTCACAGACATAAAGAGGAACTGACAGACAGAAGAGCAGTTTCAACTTTTAAAGATGTGATTTTGTTCTTTGTAATGGAATCAATTCGACATGCAGTTAACATCTTTCTTTGGCTCAATAAACAGGGATGACCCTTCTGAAAACAGTGATATATTTCTATGGAACAGTCTACCAAAATCAGACACTCTTAATATATTGACTTTGGATAAGAACAGAAAGTAGAGTGCAATAGAACTGCGTGAGAAAAATCTTTTGTTTGATATCAGGACCCAAGAACACCATGTACCCCTCCAACATGACGGTCTTCATGCCTTCTGTGCTGACACTAATTGGTATCCCAGGCCTAGAGTCTGTGCAGTGCTGGATTGGGATCCCATTCTGTGCCATGTATCTCATAGGCATGATTGGAAATTCTTTCCTTCTCTTTATCATCAAAGCAGAGCACAGCCTCCATGAGCCTATGTACATTTTTGTAGGGATGCTAGGAGCCACAGACATTGCACTTGCTAGCAGCATTATGCCCAAGATGCTTGGAGTCTTCTGGTTTCATATTCCAGAAATCTACTTTGATTCCTGCTTGCTTCAAATGTGGCTTATCCACACCTTTCAAGGTGTAGAGTCAGGCATCCTGCTGGCCATGGCCCTGGACCGTTATGTGGCCATCTGCTACCCACTGAGACATGGGACCATCTTCACCAACCAGCTGATCACACAAATGGGAGCTTTCCTAGTGGTCAGGGCAGCTGTTCTCATATCCCCAGGCATAGTACTGATAAAATTTCAGCACCAGTTTCAGTTATATCACACAACAGTCATCTCTCATTCCTACTGTGAGCATATGGCCATTGTGAAACTAATTGTAGGAAATGTCAGGGTCAATAAAATCTATGGCTTGTTTGTGGCTTTCGCTATTTCAGTGTTTGACCTCACATTCATCACATTGTCTTATGTACAGATATTTATCACAGTTTTTCATTTGCCCCAGAAAGAGGCCAGATTTAAGGCATTTAATACCTGCGTCGCTCACATTTGTGTGTTCCTCCAGTTCTACTTCCTTGCCTTCTTCTCTTTCTTCACACATAGGTTTGGTTCTCACATTCCCCCTTACATCCATATCCTCTTCTCTAGCATGTACCTGCTGGTCCCACCATTTCTCAATCCACTTGTTTATGGTTTGAAGACCAAGCAGATCCGCTTGAATGTGGCAAAAATGTGTTGTTCATAAAATTAACCTTTATTTATATCTGCTTTCTTTCTTTTTTGTGCAATAGGAGTGATATATGAAAACAAAACAACCACAGCCCTCTAAGTGTTTGATATACCTACCTTTCAAGTGTATTTGTTTGTAAATATGCTAGTATGTAAATTGTATTCAAGTGACCATATTCCATGGCACCTACCAGTCGCTGGATTTGTGAATCTTACCTGAAGAATGAAAGGAATAAATGTAACAAGAACAAAATAGTAAGTGTATCTCATTTTAGTACCTTTCAATTATTAGTCTATGTTTGACCTCTTCCTCTAAGAATCAATCTTCATAATTATTCATGTCTTATGCCTCTGTCATTGAATGGAATTACAAGGCTCATTTTCACAGAATGTCCAGGCACTCCTCGAAAATGACTTGTTCATTCATTTTTCTTTAACACCTTAGTGGTTTCTAAAACATGAAGGCAGTGCATCTTATATGTTCCATATCGAGAAACAACTTTCTTGCCTTGATGAGATTGTCTAGTATGACAAATATTTTCCTTAGGTTATTTGGATTTTACAGGCACACAGATCACTTAACATCCAATATTTTTCCTGCTCCATCCAACAATATTTTTAATAAATTTATCCAAACTGATTATTATTTTAGGTTATCAAAACCTATACTATCATTAACAATTATGAAGAGAGCATTAACACAGAAATAAGTTTGACACACAACCTAATATTTCTGAGTTCATAGCTGAATATTTCTGAGAAAAGAACAAGGCAATCAGGAGGCAGGGAGAGAAAGAGAGAGAAAGAAAAAGAGATTGTGTTTCACTTAGATAATGTGATTACCAAGCAATGATGAATGAGTTGTGAAGGAAGAACCCACACACCATACAGGGGGAGCTTTTGTTTACAGAATGGGGTTTAAGATAAAAACACAGATTTTTCAATAGGGTTCAATTTGAAATCACTTTGCAGAGACAGGGAGATTATGAATAAAAATATGGCTATGATGTTGTGCACAGTTTCTGGGTTGCATCAGATACGTCAGTGGGTCGTTTATGTCTAACAGAAAACCATTCACACATGTGTGTTTCAACTAGACATGTGACCTCATAGCCTCTGAACAGATGTACAACATGCTTTTAAATGAAGCAAGGTGTTTTATTGACAAAGAGAAGGAGTGTTATTCTAAGACTAGTGACATGGTAATTTGGTGCTAGTTGATTGTGAAACCCAAGATTTCTTCTTTTCAATAGCTTATGGATAATTTCCACTTGTGTGCTGATATTTATACTTTGTTCAAATTAAAATCACTACATATGTAAGAAATATTGTATAGTTTATCCACAGTTGGTGGAAACTCTAGCTGGTTTTATGGACTGAATCTCCTAGATGTGCAGGGAATGATATTGTAGACACAAAGGCTAGGTTTGGACATCTTTGAAATTAAGTCTCAAAATTTACAATAGTTCATTCTGATGAGTTACTGATATGGGTAGTTGTTTATAGATAATATAATTTCCTTAAGAATTAAACCAATCTGGTAGCAGAATTATGTTCTCACTAGAATTCAAATGAATTCTATATAGAGCACCAAATAATAAGTAGCTTAGGCTTTGTGTGAGAAGATACAAATTCAAGATTCCTATTAATTAAAACAATTTAAATCACTTTATTATACATGATAACATATTAAGTGCAATTGAAATTTAGAACTTTACTACCATTGGTTGCAAATGATTATCTGGAAAAATCATTCTTGTGTGTTACAAGGCCAGGATAAATCAGATGGACAAATGCACCTGGAGAACATTGAATACTAAATAAGGGCTTAGGCTCAATAATCAATAAAAATAGTACAGATTAAGGTGGAAAAGACAAATTTGGCATCTGGAGTGCATTTATTTACTTATTGTGGATAACTATAATAGCAGAGCAGGAGTGAGACACAACAGGGTTCCACAAGACAACACAGAAATAATGTTTTATGCAGCAGTAGTAATAGAATTGCATTCCAGTTGGTAATAAAATATATATGTATCAGAAATAGATGTAGATATTCTTCATTTTCCTTGGAATTATTATTTCCTGCCTAACAATCTATGAATTAAGTCAAATTCCATTCAATATACTAACTAGATGTTATTGTATTTTGCATGTTAATTGTTCTTTTAAAAAATGTATTTAATGGGATATGTATCATGTTATGTATATAATAACATTGTGAGCTATGTTACGTGGATAAATAATAACATATCTGAATACATACAATAACATTTGCCAGAATATGAATCATTCTCAAGTGTATTTCAGTGAAATTCATTTTTCCAGAATATTGTGCCACCGTTATCAATATAAAATTCCACAACTTTTTCCATTGTCCTAAAGCAAAATCTCTGTACGTATCAGGAAACAACTCTCCAATCTATTGTAATTTGTGATACATATTCTCTCTTAATTACCCTATTTTAAATAATTCATAGAATGGAATCATAAAGCACTTGTATTTCATCTTACTTATATCAGTCAACATTAAAAAATCATGTACTGTAGCACACTTCCTTACTCCATTCCTTTTTTATGACTATAAATTTCCACTGTGTGTACAACCCACATTTTGTTTAGACTGTTCCTCTACTGGTATACACTTCTGTTAATTCTACACATTGGCATTGTTCATCATGCTGTAGTGCACATTTGAGTCCAGGTATATATTAAATCCATTTTTACAGTTTTGCAGTGCCCTCTGGGGTTCTATTGGAATTAGAACCTTAGAAAGTACCACACTACTTTCACAGAAAATGCACTATTTTGCATTCACAGCAGAAATGCTTGGGTGTTCTAATTTCATTGTATCCTTGCCAAAGCTTGTTAATGTTCTATTTGCTTATCAATTCGTTGTTAATTCCAGACATTCCTGTAGATGTGATGCAACATCTCATTGTGCTTGTGCTTTGCATTTCATGCATCAATGGTCATTTTTACATCTTCCTTCCAAAATGATCATTGAAGGCATTTGTCAGTTTTAAACTTGGGCTGTTTGTCTCTTTGCTATTGGAGTTGTAGTAGAATGTCATAAGCTCTGCATATTACATCCTTATCAGACATGTGATTCGTAACTATCTTCTTTATGTTGCAACTTTTTAAATTTACTTTCTCTTTTCTTGCATGAAACCTTTTAATTTTAATAAGCTCCAATACATTTATTTTTCATTATTACTCATGATTTGTAGTTCACATTGAAGAATATAATGCCAGATCAAATTTCATGCAGATACATCTGTTTGGTTTTTCTCCTAAGTATTTTATAGATTTTCTCCTAAGTATTTTATAGATTAGCTCCTAACTTGGATCAAATCTCCATTTTTAAGAACTTTGGCATAACAATAGCCAAGTTTTGGAAACAACTAAGGTTCCTCACCAATGATGAATGCATCAGAAAATGTGGTACTTGTACACAATGGAATTTTACTCAGCCAGAAAGAAAAATGAAATCTTATCATCTGCAGTTAAATGGATGGAACTGGAGATCATCATTCTGAGCCAGGTCAGCCAGGCTCAGAACCAAAAATCGAATGTTCTCCCTCATATGCAGACTTTAGATCTAGGGCAAAAGCAGCAATATGGTTGGACTTGGATCACAAGAAAAGGGGAGAGCACATACGGGAGATATAGGAATAGGTAGAAAACCCAAAACATGAAAGCTTTTGATGTCCCCACTCTAGAGGAACTAATACAGAAACCTTAAAATGACAGGTTATCATGAGCAGGGATCAGGAACCAATATAAAGATCAGTTAGAGTTGAATCAACATGGGTTGTAACATATGGGTACATGAAAGCAATGGTAGGAATCTTTTTGTATAGCTATCCTTAACTCAGCTAGCAAAAATGCTTTGTCTTTCTTATTATGCTTCTCTTTTCTTCAACAAAATCAGAGATGAGGGCACAATGGGACCTGCTTGGAATAGAGGGGGGAAGGGGAGAAAAGGTGGGGAGAGGTACAGGGTGGAGAAATCATCCAAAAAATGTATGCACATGTGATTAAATGAACAACAACAAAAAATAGCTAAAATAAAATAAAAATAATGTGAAAAAAAAGAATTTTGGATTTTAATGTTTTTGAAAGGAAGTGTATTTGGAAAATTAGTAGATCTATTTTAAACAAAAATACCCTTTTTTCAAAAACAGAGATGAGGAAGGTAAACAGTTACTGTCTGGGGTTTGGTACCAGTGGGAGAGTGTGTAGGGGTTAAGTATAGTAGAAGTATTATGCACTCATGTAAAAAAAATGGAAAAATGAGACATGTTGAAACTATTACAAAAATGGGAGGTGAAAAAAAGGAGAATGATGGAGAGGTGAATTCAACTGTGATATATTGTAACAACTTTTGTAAATATCACAATGTACCCCCACTACAACAATAATATAATAAAGAGGAAGTAAATCTTAACCAATTAAATATGAAAACACAAGTATAAAAACAAGAGAATAAAAACAGCATGGATACATCAAAAGACACCAATTTTATCAAAGATCACATTGTAGATTAAAGCAATACAGCGTTACATAGTGTTAATATGAAATAAAATGTATCCAATTCTTCAAGATAATAGAGGAAAGACAAGACCATCAACTATTACTGATATTAGAGAAATGCTTATAATTTTGTAATTAATAAGTAAAAATGACAATCACCCATGTCTCCATGACAGATTTTTTTTCAGTTGGAATCAACGCTCTTTGTGTACTCGGTCACTATTTTTCTCTATCTCACTGTCTCTCAGTATCTCTCTCTCTCTCTCTCTCTCTCTCTCTCTCTCTCTCTCTCTCTCACTCTCTCTCTCCCTCTAATGCTGTCACCACCATTGCTACCTCTTTCTCATTAGCTACCTATCTGTCTGAAGTTTTACTTCTATCTCCATCTCTGTATCATTCTATTTTTTACTATGGGTGTGGAATAGGTTCTTTTGAATGATAAGTACAAGTTATAAACAAACACATGCTAAATTAGCTAAA